ACATGCACAGGCACCTGCTGCTGTGTCTTGCACGTTGCACAGAGCACACGCCGCGGTGAACTGGTCTGTACTGGGGTCACCAGGGCTCCCAAAGTGATGGAGGTCAATACACAGACGGCGCTGGGCACCGAGCCCTGCCCAGCCCAGATGGCACACGCCAGCTCCAGGGACCTGCCAGTGTTTTTTCACCACCCATCGCTCAAAAGAGCTGTCAAATAGGGTCACTGGCTCTGCCTTCTCCCATTTATGGATAAACTGGAATAGTGGAAGTAGCCAAGAAGCTTTATCACTTGATCAGTGTTGACGAGTATTAAATCCAAGTACCCTCAAGGTCTGGGAAAAGGAAACAGCCAAACTAACAGGAATCCTGGCAGAAACAACTCTACTTTTATGTAACTACACTGGGACTTAAGACAGTGACAGGGATCCAGAGGAAGCATTTTGTGGTGATTACGGAATGTTTTTATACACCATGGCAATGCATACAGTGCTTCACAGACACGGTACAACGCTGTCCCTGCCCAGAGAGCTTACAACCTAGAGCAGCAGCACAACCAGAGACCACAGCGAGGGGGAAGGAGACACAGAGTAGAGAAATACAGCAAACAGGACCGGTATTTGTTTCCATTTCACTGAGGTAGGATTTTGTACAAGACAACAGCAAATGCAGACAAAGGAGAGCAGCGACAGCCCCTCGGGACACCCCCGCTTCTCCCTCATCCCAGAACCGCGGCTGCTCCAGGAGGCTGGGAGCCAGGCCACCGCCTCCCCCGCCGGTACCATCCCCTTCCCGAGAGCGGGACCGGGGCGCTGGGGACCCGGGCACCGTGTCTGCGCGGGGGAAGCTGCCGGGCAGCTCCCGGGGGCTGCCCTGCCGGCGGCGGAGACGGCATGGAGCTCCTCGGCGCGGCGGGCCGGGACCGGCGGGCGGCCACGGGCACCCAGCGAGTGCGGAGCGGAGGCGGCGGCGGCGACAACTCTGCAGGCTGGCCGGGAGCGGTCCGGGGGCGCGGCCTAAGCGGGGCGGCGGCCGGCCGGGCGGGTACTTACAGTGGCGGGCTGCCTGGCGGGACGCGTGGCCGTCGCTCCGTGCTCGCCGCTGGCGCGCCGGGGCCGCATCCTCATAGCGGGGCGTCCCGCGCCTGGCCCGCGGGGGCGGCTGCGGAGACAGGAGCCCGTTACGGCGCCGCGGGGAGGGGCCGCGGGGCGCGCAGGCGCGGCGGGGGCGCGGCGGGGGAGAGCGGCGGGAGCGCGGCGGCGGCGGCGGCCGCTCTCTAAGATGGCGGCCGCGGGCCTGCGCCGCCTCCCCTCCGCCGCTCGCCCGCCCGCCCGCCCGCCGCCACCTGTCCCCCGCCGCCTCCTCCTGCACGGCGGGCCGCGGCCTCGCGGTCGCGCCGCTTACCTGGGCGTGAGGCCGGGGGCTGCAGGCACCGGGCACCGCTGCGTCCGCCGCCGCCGCCGCCCCACCTCCGCCTCGCCCGCCCCGCCGCCGCCATCTTGCGCCGGGGCCGCGGGCCGCGGGCGCGGGGCGCATGCGTGGAGCGGAGCCCGCGCTCGGGGGAGCCGCGCGGCGCATGCGCTCTGAGGGAGCGCGGTCGCCCCGCCTGGCCGGCGCCATGTTCGTGGCGGCACCGCCCCGCGGGGGGCGCGGCCGGGCTCGGGCCGTGTCTGGGCTGTCCCGGGGCCCTCGGCCCCGACCGGCCCCTCCCGCCCGCCGCGGGTGCTTCCCGGCACCCACAGGGCGCGGCTGCGGCGGTCGCCACCAAAGGGTCTTTGAAGCGCAGCGGCGCCGGGGCGGGGCCGCGGCCGGGCCGGGGGGGCCGCATTGATTTGCGGGCGCGGCGCTTCCGCCACCCGCCGGGCACAGCGGACGCTCCTCGGCCCGGGCCGGCCCCGCCACCGCTGCGGGGCCCTGAAGGTCCCGGCGGTCCCTCATGGTCCTGGCGGTCCCTCGAGTGCGGCGCTCACATGTCCCTCCCCACGCCGCTGCCGTGGCCGTTCCCCGTCCCGCAGATCCCGGTGCAGCGCTCGCCGGGGTCGCTCCCTTGCCCCGTGGCTGATGCTGCTGTGCAGCTTGTGCTGGAGGGTGACACGGGACGGGCGAGGGGGACACGGCTGTCGGGGTGTCCCTGGGAGGCTGCGGGAGCTGAGCCCCCGGCGCACCCACCCTGCAGAGTGTCCGTGCTGCTGATGGCTGGTGCTGGCCCACGGCCTCCGTGGAGACGGGCAGGAGCAGCCACGGGGCCATCACCCCCAGCCACAGTCCCTCTTCTGCACTTTCCCTTGAGGGTATCCCCGCTGCCAGGCTTTCCAAGGGGTTTCCCATCTTCCCATCCCACTCGCTCTTCCCGGAGTCCTGCCCTCTGCCCCGGGAGCACCGGGGTCAGTTTGATGAGATAACGCTGGTGCAGCAGTTCTGGAGGGGATAAGTGCTGTGTAAGCACTGAGGCTGCTGCGCTGGGCTCCCTGCAGCCCGGTTCTGCTGCCCAGAGCACCAATAACTGCCTGGGGCGCAAAGGGCCGGCTCAGACCGACCCCCGGGGGCAGAGGGGACTCTGGGGAGGGACAGTGTCCTCGGAGCGAGGCGGCTCAAGTGTCCCAGGGGGTGGTGAGGGCAGGGGCAGCCCCTCGGCGTGGCTTGCCCAGGCAGGATTTTTGGGAAGAAGCCCCACGCCGAGGACAGGCCTATCCTCCCCGTGACAGGGGGTGGAGCAGGACAGTGACAAGGCCAGCCAGGGGCACGTCCTGCAGAGCCAGAGCTGCCCGGGTGGTCGCAGAACTCTGGGCAGTGGCTGTGGGGGCAGCACTGAGGGTCCACAGCCCCAGTGAGCAGCTTCTCTGCTCAGGCTCATGTCACACGTGTGCACAAACCAGACTCCGGCAGCACCCCCAGTCTGGGGCCACAGAACCTGTGCTGGAGCTGGGGGACCTCAGCACCGGCACGGGTTTTATAACCACAGACCCTCCAGGCGACCCCCACGCGTGCCCCTCGCAGGGGGGTGCTGGGCAGGCCTAGGGCTGTGGCTGCGTGTGCGGGATATGCGAGGAGCGGTGGTTTTTTGGGGGGAAGGAGGCTGCGTGGCCAGCCTGGAGCCGAGCGACCGAGCGAGCCGCTGTCCTGCCGGTGCTGGCAGCGAGCCGGGCTCGGCGGGACACGGACCTGCATCCTCCCTGTCCGTCTGTCCCGCTGTCTCCTCCCAGCTGTGGGCCAGCAAGGAGTGGCAACTGGGGGATATATAAAGGCAGGAGAACCTCAGCCAGCTCAAAAGAAACTCCTGGAGCTAGTGGTGTTCTCCCCTCTCCTGCCTTCACGTGATTCAGCTTCCCCACGCCGGGAAGCCGAAGAAATCCTCGCTGTAAGTACCCGAACTGAGCCGGCATTGTGCGGGGGAACCCTCCAGCCTCAGGGCAGGACGGTGGCTCTGGGCCCCGGGGACGGGGGGTCAACATCCTCTCCCTTTACAGATCTGGGGAAAACGCTGTGGTGCAGCCCCGTCCGACCCCACAGCCCCGGGGAGAGGGGTCCCCCATCCCCCCCTTTCACAGAACTGGTGGAGAATGCTGTGGGGGAGCCCCGTCCCATCCCACAGCCTTGCAGGGAGCTGTGCCTGTTGCTGTGGGATGGACAGGCTCCAGCTCCCGTCCCAGCCCAGCCTGGAGACGGGCGGCACATCTCGGGGGTGGGCAGTGAGGACCGCGGGGCTCCCTGCTGCAGCAGCACGCACGGGGCTGGCGCCCGGCCGAGAGATTTGGGGAGTGGGGTGTGTTCAAGGCAGGGGGACTGCTGGAGTGGGTATGCCTAGGGGATGTGGAACCCCCGGGCCCCGCAGGACCAGTAGTGGGGCTTACACCCTGAGGAGGGGGCTGTGTCCTCGTGGGCTCCTGGACCAGGGGTTCAGGCAAAGGGGACCTGGGCAGCATTTGGTTTCGGGGGGAACAGCAGAACTGTGGGGTGTTCCTTGTGGCCATCCCCTGCTCCAGGCAGGTTGGGCAGCAGCCACCTCCCTGCCAGGGTGGCCGGGAGCGCCCTGTGTGCCCTGCGGGCCAGCCCGTGCTGACCCCCGCTCACCCTGCCAGGCCAGCCCGTGCTGACCCTGCTCTCTGCCTCCAGGTGCGAGATGGCTGCCGGCAGCTGCCTCCTCCTCCTCCTCCTGCCCTGGCTGGTCACAGCCTCGCACAGCCCCCCTGGCTGCAAGATCCGGATAACTTCCAAGGGGCTGGACTTGGGTAAGGGGCCGGCCGTGATCCTGGGGCCTGGGAAAGAGGGAGGTTGGACACCTGGCTCCTGGGGTCTGCACTTGTGTAGGGCTCTGCCTGCACTGCCCACGCGTGGGGTGGCCAGGGAGGAGCAGGGGGCTGGCAGGGGCGATGCTGCCGGGAGGGCAGCGCAGCCCGGCTGTCTCAGCCCAGGCTCGCTCTGCCTTGCAGTGAAGCAGGAGGGGCTGCGCTTCGTGGAGCAGGAGCTGCAGAACATCACGATTTCAGACCTGCACGGGAAAGAGGGGCAGTTCCACTACAACATCAGCCAGTGAGTGCTGCCTGTGCCCACGACTCCCTGGGTCCATCTGTCTGTCTGACCATCCCTATCCCCTCCCCGCAGAGTCAGGGTGACGGACCTGCATCTGGCGTCTTCGGACCTGAACTTCCAGCCCCAGCAGCATCTCGTCTTCAACATCAACAATGCTTCCATCAGCCTGCGCTTCCGCAGGCAGCTGCTCTACTGGTTCTTGTGAGCTGCCTCCCCTCCTGCTGCCCGTGCACTAGCCCACCCCATAGCTGTGCCTGCTGGGTGCCACCTTGCTGCCCTGCAGTTGGCAGGAGCTTTGTGCTCCTCTCATCCGCTTCCCTGGTTTTCAGCTACGACATTGGGTCCATCAATGCCTCTGCGGACGGTGTCCACATCCACACGGTGCTGCGGCTGGCCAAGGACGAGGCTGGGCGCCCCAAGATCTCCAACATCACCTGCAATGCCTCTATTGCCAGGATGCACGCTGGCTTCTCCGGCACACTCAGGTACACCCGACCCCTCAGCCTGTGCCCGGCTCCCTGACCTCCTTCCTGGGGTGCTTCCCCAGCCCAGCTGTGTTCTGGAATGGGGATGGAGCCGCAGGGAGGGCAGGCGGTGCAGAGCTGCTCTCGTGTCCTGCAGGAAGGTCTATGAGTTCCTGAGCACCTTCATCATCACGGGGATGCGTTACCTCCTCAGCCAGCAGGTAGGGCTGAGCGCAGACAGGTGATGGAGCCTGGGGGGCCAGGCCGTGCCCTACCTGTGCAGCTTTTCATCCAGTCCTGGGAGCGATTCCCCTCAGCCCAGCTCCTTGCTTTGCAGATCTGCCCGTCCCTGGAGCACGCCAGCCTGGTGCTGCTGAACTCCTTGCTGGACACGGTGCCTGGTGAGTGTTGCCCTGGGACAGGGACTGGATCCTGCTCACCTCGGGGCAGGCAGGGTTGGGCATCAGGCTGCTGGGCAGCTCTAGGCTTGGTCACGCCAACACATCTTCCCTGGCAGTGAGGAGCTATGTGGATGAGCATATCGGGATTGACTACTCCCTGCTGCGGGATCCATCCATCTCCAATGACAACCTTGACCTCGACTTCAAGGTGAACACTGGGTCCTGCCCTGCTGATCTTTCCCATCCCTGTGGGAATGGGCTGGGCACGCTGGGCTTCGCGGAGCAAGCAGGGTGTGCTGCCCCATGGCTGTGGCAACCTCTCCTGCTCTTGGCCCAGGGCATGTTCTTCCCGCGGGTGAGAGAAGACCAGGAGCTGGAGAACCACGCAGTGGAGCCGGTGATCAAGGAGACTGAACGCATGGTCTACGTGGCCTTCTCCGAGTACTTCTTCGACTCGGCCATGCTCGCGTACTTCCAGGCGGGAGTGCTGAACATCGAGCTCCGGGGGGAGAAGGTAAGGAGCGCCGGACACTTGGCCATGCATGGGCAGGAGGGAGGGCTGGGCTGTGCCATGGAGCAGAAGAGGTGCAGTTTAGGGAACGGCTCTGCTGGGACCCACAGCAGCGCCTCGCTTCCCCCATGGTGGTCTGTTCTCCTCACAGGTGCCCAAGGACCTGGAGGTTTTGCTGAGAGCCACCTTCTTCGGGACCATCTTCATGCTGGTGAGGAGCCCCCGGATGGGGTGGGAGGCACGGGAGAGCCTGGGGGCAGAGCACAGCCCTGCCCTGCTCCCTGCCTCCAGCTCACCTGCCTTCCCCAGAGCCCCTCCGTGGATGCTCCGCTGCAGCTGGTGCTGCAGGTCTCGGCTCCCCCCCGCTGCATCATCAAACCCTCGGGCACCTCCGTCTCTGTCTCTGCCTTCCTGAACATCTCACTGGTGCCCCCGGACCGCCCGCCCGTCCAGCTCTCCAGCATGGCCATGGTGAGGGGGAGGCCAGGGCTCTTTGTGAGGCCACTGTGCTGCACACAGGAGGAACATCTGCCATCCTGTGTGGGAAGGCACCGGTGTCCCAGTGCAGAGGGACACTGGGCCAGTGGGGTGAGAGGAGCTGCTGGCCTGGCCTGGCTGTCCCTCTGCCTGCTGCGAGTCAGTGCTCTTTCTCCCCAGGAAACCAAGCTGAGTGCCAAGGTGTTTCTGCAAGGGAAGGCACTGCGTGTGCAGCTGGACCTGCGACGGTACATTTGGGGTCCCGTGGGGGCACGGGGACGGTCCTGTCCGCACCCCACTCACGGCTGCTTCCTCCTCTCTAGGTTTCGCATCTACTCCAAGCAGTCAGCGCTGGAGTCGCTGGCGGTGAGCGCATGGTGATGGCCTGGGGACCCTTCCACCCAGCCACAGTGTAGGGTGGGCTGGGGAGGTGCTGCCCACCCAGGACTCCCACTTGCAGTCCTCCCCACCCTGGCTGACAGCTCTGCCTCTGCACTGACCCCAGCTCTTCTCCCACAGCTGTTCTCCCTGCAGGCCCCGCTGAAGACCCTCCTGCAGCTGACCATCATGCCCATCATTAACGGTAGGCACCACTGCTCCTGTGCAGCTTGGGTTGGGCAGGGGCTCAGCAGGGCTCAGTCTCACTCACCTTGTCTTTCCCTCCCTGCAGAGAGGACAAAGAAGGGGGTGCAGATTCCCCTGCCCGAAGGCATGGACTTCACCAGGGAGGTGGTCACCAACCACGCGGTACGTGGTGGGATGAGACAGCCCAGACCCCCACACCCTGCTGTGCAAGGCACCATCACCTCCATCTTCACACTGACCCTCTTCCCCCCGCAGGGATTCCTCACAGTGGGAGCTGATCTCCACTTCTCCAAGGGGCTGCGGGAGGTGATTGAGAAATACCGCCCTGTGCCCACCACCGCTGCCTATCCCAGCTCCCAGCCCGCAGAGCCCACAGAGCCCACAGAGCCCAGCCTGGACCCCAGCTCACTGTAGCTCTTCTCCCTGGACCAAGGGCAGATCCCGGGCTGGACCCGTAGACTGTAGGTAGGAAGCAGCTTCCCTGGTACCACTGGCACATCCTCAGGGTGCCCATGCCCTGCTGAGGTGCAGCAAGGTGGAGAGGGATGCTCTGGGAAACCCTGCTGCACCCATTCTCATTACACTAATAAACCACCCGCCTCCAAAATCATGGCCCTGTTGTCTGGAGGATGTGCCCACGCGGGGCACATGGCATGGAGACGGGAAGGAGGCAGCCAACAATGCTGCCCAGCTCCGGTCCTTGGGAGCAAACGGAGCTGAGGGTAGTGCCAGAGGGCTGAGTGACTGCACTGCTGCTGCTCAGGCAGGTCACTTGTTTCCAGGCTGCAGGGACCCTGCAGAGGGGGCAACGCCCAGAGCCCTCTGGCACAGGGCATTGGCACTCCCTGGTGCTCCTCAGCAGAGGAAAGCAAAGCAGGGGCTGGCAGAGGGGTGTGAGGAGGAGCAGAACCACCTTGGTCAGAGAGTTTATTGCAAGTTCCTGCATTGTGTGCCCTGGCAGTGGGATCATCATGGTGGTGGTGGTTAAGCCTCCTTCAGTGGGAGCAGAGGTGGGAGCAGGGTGGAAGGAGCAGGGCCACTGCTGCTGCTCCTCAAAGCCTGCCCAAGCCCCAGGTGTGCAGGGCCAAGGGGAAGTGCCAGGACTGCTTCTTGCCTGCGAGGGTAGCAGCTGCTGCCACAGACAAGGAGGAGGCAAGACAGGAAGCCACAAGCGAGGCGGCGGCTGCAGCAGGTACACGACTCCTCTCCCATCAAGGACAGAGCCCTCAGGACTCAATCCCATGTCCCCCACCCACAGCAGGCAGCCCTGTCTGGCTGGGAGGAAGGCTGCAGGTGTGACAGGTCTGTGGTGTAGCCGAGCAGCAGCGAGGACTGGGCTGTGCGAGGTGCCGGCAGTGAGGGCAGAGGGGTGGTGAGGGCAGTCCCCGTAGCTCCTAGTAAGGCTGGTTCTTAATGAAGCGGCAGAACATGGTGAAGGCAGCGAGCGGCCGGTCCGTGGGCACCATGTGGCCAGCTCCCTGCAGGAAAAGGGCAGCAGTGGTCAGCATGGCTGTGGTGCTGCCACAGCCTAGCCAGCACCACCCCACCCTGACCACAGCCTTGGTGGCCAGCACACCCACCCGCAGCCCCGTCCCTGCCTCCCAGAGTCCTCAGCCCTACCTTGACAGTGAGGAAGGCGATGTTGGTGAATTCCTTCACAAAGCCCCCAATCTGGTTCTCACCATTTTCAGTGTAGAGCCAGGGCCGTCGAGCCACCTGCACCTGGAAGCGATGGCAGCGCCCTCAGTGCCAGGGGCTGGCCCTGCCCACACTCCCTCCCACCACAGCCAGCCCCAGCACACAGCCTGGAGCCAGGGCCTGGCCTGGCCTGGGCCGTGCCCAGCCCATTTACCTTCTGGCACAGGGAGTCCACAAACCACTCATCCCCGAGGAAGTTGCAGGCCATGTCCACGTCCCCGTTGTACACCAGGATCCGGTATTTCTGCAGAGCAGACAGAGGGGGTGAGCCCTCAGCCAGGACACCAACCCCAGCCTGGCAGGAGGCTGGGCTGGCAGAGCCACTCCCAGGGCCCATGGGCTCCCCCGCACGCACCGTGGTCCCGAGCAGCTTCAGGTACTGCTCGTTCATCTGCATGTACAGGCGCTTGTAGTTGCGGTTCACGTCGAAGCTGCGGAGGAAGTGTCGGCATCATGCAGCTGCTCCTGCTCGGGGTGCTCCCTGCCCGCCCACAGCTCTCTCACCTGCACACCTCCCACTCCGGCGCCTCGGGGGAGATATGCAGAGCCTTCCGCACCTCCGGGGAGTTCAGATACATGCTGGGGGCTGTGGAGTTGGTGCAGGGCGGGTCCATACGGACCTTCTTCCGGGCGACTGGCATTCGGAACAGGTTCTGGGAGAGGCAGGAGAGTCATGGTCACAGCAGCACCACTGAGCAGGCACAGGCTGCTCTCAGCCCGGCAGCACGGGCACCTCGGCTCACCTGCCGCCAGGAGAACCTCAGTGGCATCCGGATGAAGGAGTTGCCCAGGTCATGTGTGATGAGATAATCACCCTCGTACCTGTAGCCAGGATGAGCACGAGGACAGGCTGAAAGCCCTGGGGAAACGAGGGCTCAGGGCCCTCCTTGAGGGAGTCCTCGGCAGAAGCCAGACACTCTCCACCTGTCCCAGAAGGACCCCCTGCCCAGCCCACCACGTCCTTCTTCCAGTGGGACTAAAGTGAGACGGTGCCTGGAGACCCATTTTCCCTGGGGCCGCTCTCACCTCATGCTCCCAGGGACGCCTCCATCACACGGGGCATAGAGGTTGTAGATGTTGAGGCCAGACTCTTCTACAATCTGAATCATCTCCCCCATCTGCAAGGAGCCACAAGAAGGGTTTGGGACTTAGCAAGACCCTCTTGGGATCGTGGGCCCACCCAGAGCCAGGTGGGTGCTGCTCACAGACACTGATGCTGGGCACGTGTAGGGGGCTCCGCCGCCCCTCACCTTGAGCGTGCAGTTCAGGTTGGAGTTGTCATGGAAGTTGCACTTCCCCTCAGAGCAGCAGAAGGCCTGGAGGTCCTTCCACAGCCTGTGGGGAGAGACCAGGGCTTGGACCGCACTGCCCAGGCAGCAACACCACCAGCCCGAGCCCTGACCATGCCCCGCTCCTGCTCGCACAGGGATGGCACACCGAGCACTCCCCCTGCTCTTACTCGGTCCCCAGCAGCCCGTGGTAATAGGCAAAGTAAACCAGGGAGTTGTCATTGATCTCATAAGATGAGAGGCCGTTTCCCACAGCGATTCCCTGCGGGGCAAGAAGAAAACAACCCTGTTGTGTTCCAGCTCCCCGCGGGGCGGCTGCAGCACAGCGGCCCCAGGCAGGAAGCAGATGTGGCACTGTTTACTCTGCAGAGGGAACAGGGAGGGTCGAGGGTGCCTGAGGACGCTTCCCCGGCAGAGGGATGGACACGTCCACCGGCAGCCGCTGCCAGCACCCCAGGAGGAGATGAAAGGCCGCAGGGCCAGGCCCGCCCTATGTCCTGGAGGGAGCCCTGCACGCTGAATGCACAGCCAGTCCCCACCCTGGCGCTGGCTCAAGGGCCCCAGCGAGGCTGTGCCGAGCCCTCTGCTCCCCAGCAGAGCCCAGCACCCACCTTCAAATTGAGACTGGGGTCCTGCATCACCCACTCTGCCAGTGTGGGGATGTAGACCCCCCCATAGCTCTCCCCTGTGAGGAAGAGATCATTCTTGGAGTACTCAGGGAACAGGCGGAGGAAATCCTTCAGCGCCAGGTAGTTGTTGTGAGCAACCTGCGAGGAGGAGGAGGCAGGGTCAGGTGGTGAGGCTGGACCCCAGCCAGGGGGCAGATGGGGTCAGGGCCTTCCCAGCACGCTGGTCACTCGCCTCTGTGTCATTTGTGCCGTACTTCTTGTCATCGGAGTACGAGAAGCCGACGCCAGCGGGAGACTCCAGGTAGAGGATGTTGGCAATCTGCGAGGACAGCAGAGGAGCCGGCGATCAGGGGACACCCTCCTCTGGCTCACCGAGGCGCCGCTGGCCTCGCCCACGACAGCACCCACGGGTCTGGCCCGCCCCAGGGCTGTGCTGGGGTGGCCACATTCCTGTGCTGCTCAGCAGACTGGAGAAGAGGGTGTGTTGGGCGGGGGGGGCGGCAGGAGGTTTGGCTCCGTGGAGAGGGCAGGAGGAACTGGCTCAGGGCCACCCCATCCGGCAGCCACGGAGGGCGGTACTGCCTGCGCCCGTACCTTGTTCCAGGCGTACTCGTTGTACTTCAGCGTGACCCCATCGGGCTGGATCTGGGGAAGCAGAAGGCGGTGACCGATGGGCTGAGCTGGGCTGGGGACAGCATGATGGCTCATACCACGCAGCCGGTCATTCCTTGCACTCCCCAGCCACAGGACGGCAGTGATTACTAACCAGGAAGGGGCCATGCTCCTTGAGGAAGCCTTCCATGGAACTGCAGCCGGGACCCCCGTTCAGCCACAGCACCAGGGGGCTGCCCTGGGGGTTGCTCTGGGCCTCCACGAACCTGCGGACGCGCAGCCGTCAGTGCCCGGTGGCAGCCGATGCCCCCCCAGCGCCAGGCTCAGCCCCACGTACCAGTAGTGCAGGTGCTTGCCCGGTCCGGCGCACAGGTAGCCAGAGAAGTGGCGGAAGGAGGGCTGCTTATGCAGCCCGGGCAGGTACGTCACCTCGTGCCCCGGCGGGGCGGCCCGGCCCAGCCCCAGCAGCAGCAGCATCAGCGACGACGACAGCAGCAGCGGCCCCATCTGCGGCGGGCGGGAGGGCACGGTCAGGGCGCTGCCGGCCGCGAACGGCCGCGCCCCGCGAGCGCCCCGGCACGGCTGCCCCAGGACCGACCCCCGTGCGGGGCTGCCCCCCGTGGCCGGCCCGCTCCCCCGGTACCGGGGCCCCGTCCCCGCTGCCCCGTCCCCGCTCCCCCCGAGCCCGCTGACCGCGGCCGCTCCCGGCGCAGGTTCCGCTCCCGGTGGGCACATGACACGCGCCCATATGACCTGCGCCGCTCACGTGAGCGGGGCGGGGCCCGGCAGCGGCCAATCAGCGCCCCGGGGGGCGGCCGGCCCGGCCCCGCCCCCGCCCGCGCACGTGGGACCGGGAGCGGGACCGGGACCGGGATCGGGACCGGGACATACCGGGGGACAGCGGGGGATTGAGGGGGGAGCGGTGGAACTCCCGCACTACAGCGGGAGCAGCCGGCGGTGGGGTAGACACAGTCGGGCACCACCGGTCACAGCCGGGTGTCACCCAGTACTGCTGGGTACCGGGCACTGCTGGGTATGGCCGGTACCGCTGGGTACCACCGGGCACAGCTGGGCGCCACCCAGCACTGCTGGGTGCAGCCAGGCATCACCAGGCACTGCCAGGCATCCCCGTGTTCAGGCAGCACCACTGAGCACTGCTGGGTATAGCTGGTACCGCTGGGCACCACCAGAGATTACTGGGTAGAGCTGGGCACCACCAGGCACTGCCAGGCGTCACTGGGTACAGCCATGTACAGCCAGCACCACCAGTCCCTGCCAGGCATCATGGGCACAGCCAGTCATCTCCATGTACAGGCAGCACCAGGCAGGCACTGTGCGAAGTCTCCGTGTGTCTGGATTGAGCCCAGTTGTGCCCCAGCAGCAGCAAGGTCCCCCCACTGCCTCCCCTGCAGCACTAGGATCCCTCTGAGCCCTCTGGTTGTCCCTCCCGGACAGGCTGTCACCACCTCACAGCAGCTGTGACAGGGACAGCTAAAAATAGCCTCGGCGGCGATGGCTGCCCGGTGCCGGCTCGCCGCGCGCTTCCACCACGTCCACGGCACCAACATCCGCCTGGACACCTCGCGCACACTGGCCACACGGGTGGAGAGCTTTGCCAATGGGCTCTGCTTCAGCCAGGAGCCCCTGGCGCCCGGGCAGATCTTCCTGGTGGAGATCGAGGAGAAGGAGCTGGGCTGGTGCGGGCACCTGCGCGTGGGGCTGACAGCCCACGACCCCCAGAGCCTGGAGGTGGTGCCTGAGTACTCACTGCCAGACCTGGTCAATATGGGGGACACTTGGGTGTTCGCCATCACCCGGAGCCACAACCGCGTGGCGGTGGACGGGGAGGAGGTGCGGGCACGGAGCTCACCCTGGGAGCCCTTCCTGCTGATCGAGCGGGTGCGGATCCCCCGCGACACGCTGGTGGGGCGCAGCCGGCCCGGCCGCTACAGCCACATCCTAGACGACCTGTACAAGACGAACGTGCTGCCCGCGACCGCCCGGCGCAGCCGCATCGGGGTGCTGTACGCGCCGCAGCCCGACGGCACCGCCGACATGCACATTGTCATCAACGGCGAGGACATGGGCCCGAGCGCCAGGGGCCTGCCCACCGCCCGCCCGCTCTACGCCGTCGTTGATGTCTTCGCCTCCACCAAGAGCGTCCGGGTTATCCCAGTGGATTATGGCTGTAGGTACCTGCCCCCGTCCCTGCAGCACGTGCAGCGTGGGCCGGGGGCAGGGGGACTCTGGCAGGGTCACCCCATGGTCCCCAGCAGTGGGAATGTCAGAGCGTGACTCTGGGCAGAGGGACATGGGATACAGGGCACAGGAGAGCCCGTGGGTCCTGTAGACTCACAGTGCCGCTGATGGGCAGTGTCTGCTGAAATCTCTGCCATGGGAGCTCTGCTGGGGCCAGGGGGAGACCCTCCCCTGCAGCAGGCCCGCTGGCCAGCCTTCCTGAGCCGGGTGACGGGGGTGGGTGTTTGGGGCTGACCCAGGGCTGTGAGGCTTTGCTATGCCCAGCCTCACCCACACCACGCGGCAGCCGGAGCCAACCGACGTCCTGCCCGTCACCAAAACACCCACCTACACCTGCCGCCCACCCCTGTATGGCACGCTGCACCCCCGCACCTGCCACGTGCTCAGGACACAGCCTTCCCTGGGCAGACATCCCATGATGCCAGCACAGCCCGGGCATTATCCTGTGTCCCTTGGCTGGATGGGAGGGGCCAGGCTAACGAGGGCTAATTAGCGCTGGAAGAATCAGCAGATGCTGAGGATCAGGCAAGACTGAGCAAGAAGGAGAGCAAGCACCAGGGTACCAGCTCCCTCCACAGGGAGCCACTGCTTCCCTCACTGGTGCCAAGGGCAGCTGCTTCTGTCCCAAGGCTGGGATTCTCCATGGTTTTAACACCTGAGGGGAGTGTTGGCCACAGTGGACAGCACCTGTGCTGCGGAGCCACCTGAGGCTCTGGGAGGAGGAATCCCACAGGGTGTTGTGTCACAGGACCAGAGCCAGGCAGAGCCTGGGCAGGCACCCAGGGAGAATGGCTGATGGTGGTCTGTCCCAACAGCACGGTGGGCACTGTCTGTGCAGGCAGCGCAGCCCTGGCCGGTGGGTACCCACTCACCAGCCTGGTGCTGGTGCCAGTGGAAGCAGACCAAGGGAGTGGGATGTAAGGGAAGCCCAGTGTGGGCATGTGAGACCCTGGGGGAGCCGCTCAAGAGCCGCCAGAGAAAGAAATGCAAACAAGCCCCGGTCATGCAGAGCTTGGGCGCATAACTGTTTCCCAACCTTCCTCCTATTAATGGATAGAGCTTTGCTGTCTGGGGCCCTTAAGCTCCCAGCCCTGGGGCAGCAGCCTGGCACCAGGTCCTGCACAGCCGGCTCGAGCCTGGGGCAGGATGATGCTGCAAAACAAAGTCACCCTACCACTGCCCTTAACCCCAGTGCCTCTGAGGAGCCCCAGGCCAGCTCCTACACCCCTCTGTGCTCAGCCTCACCACTGACTCGCCCAGCTCAGTTTCTCTCTCCGTTCTCTTCCAGTTCCCTCCCTGCAGACGCTGTGCCGGGTGGTCATCCAGAAACACATCGTGCACCGCCTGGCCATTGAGGGCCTGGACCTGCCCCCACTGCTCAAGAACTTCTGCCAACATGAGTGAGGTGTTGAGGGCACTGCTGGGCTGCCCCCACTGCCAACAGCATCCCAGTGCTGGTTGCCTGGTAGGATCCGTGCCCCTTGTTGCCCCCTCACCCCGGTATGTGCTGCCAAAGGGCCAACCTGAGAACAGGCAGCGTGGTGGTGGGATTTTCCACACAGGGACGGTGCTGCAGGGCCAGAGCGTGAGCAGGGAGCTGATGTGGTTCAGAGAGAGCAATAAAGCACTTCCAGACAAGAGTCTGTCAAAGGAGGCTCAGGGGGGCTGAGACCTCCCATGGTTCAGCAGCCTCTCGTGGGAGCAGTTCCCCCGGCAGCAAGGAAAGGAACACGGGCCACACACAGCCCTGTGGGGCTCAGGAATGATGCTGGGATCGCCTGGGTGGATCAGAGTGAGTGCTGGCGTGGGTGGAGCGTGGGAGGGCACTCACGTGGAGGTAAATTACAGCCAGACGCTTTGTCCTGGCCGGGCAGTTTCACTCTTGGGAAATATGTTTACACGGAGAGCGATGAGTTATTTCCTGTGTGCTCAGCTGGGAGGGGGACGGGGGCGGACGTCGGAGCACCCAGAGAGCAGCGCTGGCAGCAGCCCTTGCTTGGGCACGTGCCTGTGGCCACAGAGCCAGACACGGTGACCCTGTGCAGGGCCCAGCCATCCCGCCTCGCTGCCCGGGGAGGGGAGCCCAGCACTCCTCGGCTCTGTGCCCTCAGCCAAACCCTTCATCCCCTGGCTGGTGGGGATGGCAGCCAGGATCCAGCAGCGCCCGTGCTGGGCTGGAGAGGGGAGGCAGGGCAGGTAGGAGTTGTGTAGAGCAACAGGCAGGGTGGGGAAGAGCCCTCCAAAAACCAGAGGGGTACCCACAGGTGCCAGAGAGACGGTGAGGGGGCTGGCAGAGCCTTCCAGGCCTCTTCCACAACACGGCCAAGGGGGGCTTTGAGCAGCTCCAAGCTTACAAGAAAGGTGTTTTAGGAAACATGATGCTATATTTAGTCAGAGACTCGATAGTATCAGATCATGTTACAAAGCTCTGGCTCAAAGGAAATCCCCAGCCCGCAGTGACGGCCGACTGCATCAACACCAAAGTGTTAATGAAGGGAGCGCTGATAGGGGAAAACATGGATGGTGGCCGAACCATAGCAACAGGAGTGAGGTCTGTGACATTCCCTGCCATGTCCCACCAACGGGCTGGGAGCTGCTGGAGCTGCCCCGGCTGTAAGAGGTCCGGGGAGCTCACCCACCCCAGAGCAGCACCCGTGGGCCAGGCCTTTGCTCTCCAAGCTGTTTTCCCTCCCCCACCCGTGCGTGAAGCCTTTGCTCCCCACCTACCCCCCGGCGTAATCTGCCCGGCAGTGACCCGTGCACAAGAGGGTGGGTTCCTCTTTCTTGAGAAATTGAGAGCAGCTGCTGAAACCAGATAAACCACTCCCCTTCTGTGAAGTGGGGCTGCAGCGCAGTGGGGCTGTCCCCCTCAGGAGCTGCCACCTCCCGCCACCTGGGGCACTCTGGTGGCACAAGACCACCAAGCAGCACTGCCCAAAGCCCTGCCTGACCCCCAGCACTCCATCCCCTGGGCAGGGAGGGGCATCTGCAGCTGGCGCAGGGACAGAGGCAGCTCCCAAACAGCACAAGGCTGATTTATTGGCTCTGTTGCACAACCCCCGCAGCTGGATGGTGCAAGGACCTGTGGGCGCTGGCCACAGATGAAATAATTTTGTCACATGTTATTATGGGGCCAGATGGGATTCATCTGAGAATCCTCAAAGAACTAGCTGATGTCATTGCAAAGCCTCTCTCGATGATTTTTGAGCAGTCCTGGAAATCTGGAGAGGTCTCAGCTGACTGGAAGCTGGCAAACATTATCCTGATTTTTAAGAAGGGCAAAAAGGAGGACCCCAGAAGCTACAGGCCTGTCAGCCTCACTTCAGTACCTGGTAAAATCATAGAAAAGATTATTTTGGGAGGTCTTAAAAAACACCTGGTGTTTTTGACACTGTTGTTGACATTGGCCACAGCCAGCATGGCTTCAGGAGGGGGAAGTCCTGCTTGTTGAACCTGATTCCCTTCAACAACAGGGTAACTCACCTAGTTCACCTAGGAAAGCCAGTACATATAGTCTTTTTGGACTTCAGCAAAGCTTTTGATACTGTCTCTCACAGGATACTTCTGGACAAAATGTCCAGCCCACAGCTGGATAACTGTATTATGGGATAGTGAGCAACTTGTTCACAGGTGAGGCACAAACAGTTGTAGTGACTGACAACAGATTGTTATCTGGTCACTAGTTCTGCAGGGTTCCATCCTTGGCCCAGTTCTCTTCAACACTCAGAGACTGTTTGATGCCTTCTTCAGTTCTTTGGTTAATCTCCTCCCTGCTGTCATCCTCTGGGGCCTCTGTGGCCCTCAGTTTTACTGGAGGAGATGAAGGATATAACAGGGAGTGAGGGGTTGTGGGTTCGCCCTGGAGGAGAGACTGGGAGATTTCAGGCTGACACTGGAGAGCCTCAAAGAGCTGGGGAACTGCTGGTAGACTCTGGAGAACAATCACAGGACTCCTGGTGGCTGCAAGAGAGGCTGACAAGAGCTGCTGCTGAGCTGCTGCCACAGTAGAGGAAGCCTGGCTGGAGCTCTGGGATGTGTTACCCTGGCACACCAGAGAGGGCAAGGGGCAAGCTTTGGGGAGCTCCTGAACAGCACAGTCATCAGGATGGGGAGCAGAGCACGTCACAGCATCAGGAGGGCTCTTACAATCACACTTTTCATAGTGCTGGGCCAAGGTGGTGACGCAGCTCTCCAGAGGGAACCCACTACTGAAAACCTGGCTTAGCCCCTGGATGACAACCTCCATCTCCACGAAGTAGCCGCTGCTCTCCCCTCAGCTGCCCTCCCTGTGCGCAGCCCAGATCCCGTCATCGAGCAGCCAGTGAAGGAGGAGCTGAGGCAGCAAGTCCGGAGCGATGAGGTCCCTCGGGAAGGCGAACAGCTCCCGCCGCCGTCGGGGCCAGGCGCTCGGTGTGGTGCTCCAGGGCCAGCTGCTGCAGCCACTTGCAGAGGTGGAACAGGGCTACGCCATCACCAGTCCCTGTCCCGGTCCGTGTCCCGCTCCGCCAGGAGCATCATCGCCGCCGTAGGGCTCGACTCCTCCCGCCGCGGCGGGACCGGAGCGCTCGGGCGCCGCCTGGAGAGGTCGCCGCGCATCGCACCGGGAGCGCACCGCTCCTCGGTGTGTCCGGCCCTCTGGCACCGGCTCCTGCCCGGCTGCCTGCTCCGGTGACCGAGCCCAGGTGGCCCGGGTGGCCGCCAGCGCGGAGCTGCGCTCCTTCAGCTGCTCCCCGTTGCTCTGCAGCAGGCTGGTCAGCACGAGGCTGAGCGACTGCACTCCCTCCTCCCTGCTGCCCGCCGAGCCCCCAGCATGGCCTGGGGAGCTGCCCCTGGGGGGATGAGGGGTGCCGGTATCGCCGCTGCCAAGCGCCTGCACAGCACGGCTCTCTCCGCACGCCCCCCGTGCTCCGGCAGCACGGCCAGGATGTGCCGGCAGGGCAGCTGGGAGCGGCGGTGGCAGTAGCAGGTGCATCTCCGGCAGTCCTGGCTCACCCAGCGCACATCCTCCGGCTTGCGGGCCCGGCAGCGCTCCCCGAAGTCCTGGAAGCTGCGGGAACGGGCGCTCAGTTCCCCGGCGCGACCCCCGGGACCGCCGTTAAACCCCGGGGCACCGCCCACGCCCTGATCCTGACCAATCAGAGCCGTTCTCTGCAGATTGACAGGAGGCAAGCCAACCAGCACAGACAACCGTGCCACTGCCCAGGTGACTGACAGCTCTACTATCCAATCATCTGGCGGTGCGCTCCCCGTGGGCGGGCGGTGAGTCATGGGCGGAAGTGTCAGCTGTCAGGGCCGCCGGTCGCGGGGGGGATGGAGGCTCCGGGCGGCACCGGCGGGGCCGGCGCGGGGCCGGGGCGGCCACCGCCGCCTCCTGGGGACCTGCGCAGCGTGCTGATCACCAGCGTGCTGAACCTGGAGCGCCTGGAGCTTGATCTCTTCAGGTGCGCTGCGCGGGGGGACGCCGGGCCGGCGGGACCGGGGCGGCCTGCCCGCACCCTGCCGCCGCCGCCGCTCACCGCCACCGCCTTCTCCCCGCAGGGGCCGGCACCACTGGGTGCCCGCCACGCAGCGCCTCTTCGGCGGGCAGATCGTGGGGCAGGCGCTGGTGGCGGCCGCCCGCGCCGTGAGCCGCGACGAGCAGGTGCACTCGCTGCACTGCTACTTCGTGCGGGCAGGTGCGGAACCGCGGCTCGGGGGGAGGCCGGGCCGGGCCGGGCTGCCGGGGGGTTCGGGGAGCCCGCAGGGTGAGCAGGCGCCCCATCCCGACCCCATCCCGGCAGGGAGGGTGCGGGTGGCACCGCCGGGCTCGGCCCCTGCAGGGCAGGTCCCCTCCGTTGCCCGGCGGCAGAACGTCCCTGTGCTTTCCCAGGGGACCCCAAGGTGCCGGTGCTGTACGAGGTGGAGAGGACTCGTACAGGGAAGAGCTTCTCCGTTCGCTCCGTGAAGGCCATCCAGCACGGAAAGCCGATCTTCACCTGCCAGGCCTCCTTCCAGCTCTCCCAGGCGAGCCCAGTGCAGCACCAGTTCACCATGCCCACCGTGCCACCCCCCGAGGAGCTGCTGACACAGGAGGAGCTCATCCAGAAGTTCCTGCAGTGAGTGGGGCAGAAGGGGCATGTTGGGGACGCCCCTCTTTGCAGCTGGGACAGAGGGAGGTGTGGGGGAGGATTGTGGTGACTGCCTGAAGAGTTCCCAAACATGCCTGGGAGGGGAGCAGAGGGGCAGGACAGGAGCCATGCTCCTCCTGTCTCTGTGTGCCTCTGGGTCCCTGGGCTGGAGCCAGCAGGACATGCCCCTGCCTGCCTGGCATTAACCTTGTTTCGCCATGCTGGGCTGCAGGAATCCTAACCTGGCTGAGAGGTACAGGAAGCATCTCAACAAGATCCAAGCCGAAGATGTGCCGATTGATATTAAACCCGTGAACCCACCGGATATATTCAGCTCAGAGCCACAGGAGCCAAAGCAGCTCTTCTGGGTGCGAGCACGAGGCTACATAGGTGGGTCCTGCTGGCAGAGTGGTCCAAGTGCCTCCTGAGCTGAGGGCTCAGGCTCCACCTCACACTGTGGAGCACTGTCACAACAGAATGGGCTGGGAGGGCTGTGATTTGGGGGCTGCCAGGGCTGTGATTTGAGGGCTGCCTGCGCCCCAGCCTGTGGGGAAGCCTGGGCATTTTGAGGCTGAAATGCAGGTGTGGGTGAGGAGCATGAGGTGATGCCCTGAGCTGTGCTGGGGGACAGGGGGAGCTGGTCTGGAAGAATCTCAACTGTGCTTGGCCAGCAGCTGTCCCTGGGGCACTGGGGCTCTGTGCCCCAGATGTGTCCCATGGGCACCCACGGGACGGGCAGTGCTGGTTGCTCCGCAGGGGAGACGGACATGAAGGTGCACTGCTGTGTGGCTGCCTACATCTCCGACTACGCCTTCCTGGGCACGGCCCTGCTCCCGCACCGGCAGTACCACATCAAGTTCATGGTGTCCCTCGACCATTCCATGTGGTTCCACGCGCCCTTCCGAGCTGACCACTGGATGCTCTACGAGTGTGAGAGCCCCTGGGCTGGTGAGTCCTTGCTGTGTCCCACAAGGCCAAGGGCAGCCCATCCCTACGGCAGGCTGGGACACGGCAGGGGAAGATGCTACTCTGGCACACGTTGCTTCCCCTTCTCACTTCTCCTGCCTTACCCATCCCGGGGGTGGTGGCTGCATTCTGACAGCTCCTCTCTGCAGGCGGGTGCCGGGGCCTGGTGCAGGGACGGCTGTGGCGCAGGGACGGGGTCCTGGCTGTCACCTGCGCGCAAGAAGGAGTCATCAGGGTGGAACAGAGACAAAACCAGAGCAAGCTGTAGCTGAGGAGCCTCCACAAGCTGGGGCTCAGGCATGCCAAGAGATGGACTCTGGGATCAAGACAGGACCTGGACAGCAGCAGGAAGGAGACCAGGCTGGATCCAGCCCAGTGGGGAGTCCGAGTGCCAGAGGTGTCTGCGATGGATGGTGACCCACAGAGCATCAGTGTGACCAAACTGGCTGCTGCACAGTGTGTAACCACACGCTGCCATCAGCCATCCTTCACCCACATTAAAATAAAGCCGTTGGGTGAAGAGCTGGACTCTGTCCCTGGAGTTTGTCCCCTTGGATCTGTGACTGTGCTTGGGTTAATGGGGGGGCCAGCTCTGCCCCCGGCGCAGGCTGGGTCACAGGAGGGGAACCTGTGCCACATGTGCTGCTGTGGCACATGTTGCTTCCCTTTCTCGCTTCTCCTGCCCTACTCATGCTCCAGTGCCTCAGTTGCTGCTTCTGCTTGCGCTTGGGCTCCTCCCCAGGGCTGGGCTCAGGCTTGGGCCCAGCTGGGAGCCAGGGAAATGGGATGAGGCAGCTCCCACCTCCATGTGGAGGCTTGAGGCCTCCCACTGATGGTGCCCTGGGGGCATGGGGTGGAATAGACACAGCAGCCACTTTGCTCTTCTTCCTGCCAAGACTTTATTTAATAAAGTCCTTTTTATTATATAAGTTTTATGGGAAGTTCCCGGCAAGAGCCCCAAACCCTGCCAGAAGCCTTCCCGTTCCTTGTGCGCTGCCAGTACATCCCAGCTAAAGTCCCAGCCACTCCAGCATCCCCCACAGAGGGGGAGTGGCTCCAGCAGTGTCACTGTGGGTGGTGGGCCTCTGTGAACCCCTGTGAGCCCCTGGTCCCACCGGACAGACTAACCACAGAGAAAGTGCATTGAAGAGGCAGCTCCAGGCACGGGCCGTGCTGCCATGGGAATGTGGCGCTGCCCCCCTGCCACATCCCCACTCATGGCATTGCCCTGCTCCTGGTCGCCATGGGTGCAAGCCCCCTGCAGCCCTTGCCCTCCTGCCCATGCAGGCACGGGCTGCTTCACTCCAGAGGCTCCTTGATCAGGCACTCCTTGAGGGAGGGCTGCTGCTGCAGGGGCAGCCCAGCCTCCCGCAGGTCCTGCAGCCGGGCCTCCGAGCGCCGCTTGTCCTTGCCCACCTTCCAGGCCAGGTGGACGTGGGCCTGCAGGAAGGGCCCCAGCAGCGGGTGGCTGCCCTGGGCCTCCAGCAGCTGCAGCGCCTGCTCACAGCAGCCGTGGGCCTCGCTGAGCTGGTCCAGCTCCTGATGGCACACGGCCAGCCCGGCCAGCGTCAGGAGGAAGCGGCCGGAGCTGCAGACCCCCAGCCGGTCCTGCAGCCGGTAGGCATTGGCCCAGGTGGCCAGGGCCTCGCGGTACATGCCGGTGCAGGTGAGGCGCTGCGCGGCCCGCAGGTCCGGCAGGAAGAAGAACTCGAGGAACTCAGGGGAGCGGCGGATCTCGTCGATGGAGTGCAGGTGGGACAGGAACTGCTCGAAGGCTCGGCTCCGCTTGGCGATGGTCTCGGCGGTGAAGTTCCGGCGCAGCCTCTTCCTGGGGAAGGCAACGCCGGCCATGTCGCAGCCAAAGCGGCAGCGCAGGCGGCGGTTCAGCTGCTCGAAGTCCGAGTAGCGCCGGGCGATGGTGGCGGGGGCCTTGTCAAACTGGCCGGTGCGGATCAGGTAGATGGTGTAGAGCTGCGGGGGAGCTGGGTGTCAGCCCTTGCCTCGGGCACGCTGCTCCTGGGGCCGGCAGAGCCGGGTGAGTGGCCACAGAAGGGCTGGGGGGGTTTGCCCGGGCAGGAGGGAGTGGGCTGGGCTGCCACAACCACAGCAACCACCAGTGATAGTTACCTGAGGCTCATCTGAGCCGCCAGCAACATCCAAGCAGCACAGGGAAAGAGAGAGAAATAAGCGCCAGCCCCTTGGGACCCCTGACCCGGGGGAGATCCAAACCCACACCCACCCTGTGCCCGCCCAGCCGTGCCGGGCTCACTCACCACGTACTTGGAGGAGCGCTCGCTGACCACGCTGGCGCTGGTGACCTCGAAGAGCAGCCGCTGCGGAGCCAGGCTGCCCCGCGACCTCCGCCACAGCTCCTGCAGCTGCCGGGTCAGCAGGCTGCCGCCGGGGCGCTCCGCCGCGGAGCCCCACTCTGTGCCGGGAGAGGGGCGTCATTGCCCAGCGTGGGGACAGTGCTCCGCCAGCCCCCCGACACCTCCGGGCTGCCCCGGGGTGCTGCTGCCCTGGGGAGCGGGGTCACCCCAGTCCCCCCAGCTCACCGCCCCAGCACTCGCCTCCGTCCTCCCCGCCTGCTGCCGCCCCCTGCGCCTGCGGCGGCTCCTCCAGCTCGTCGCTAGCTCCGTCCTCCTCCTCCTCCTCCTCCTCGTCGTCCTCGTGGCTGGTGAAGCTCAGGGTGCCGCTGAGGCGCGTCGACAGCCCCTCGGTGTCGTCCTCCAGCTCCGAGCTCTCCGGGCAGTCCTCGGCCTCGCCGCCGCCTCCCGCCGGCTCCTCCCGGCCGCCCTCGCCGGCCAGCGCGTGCCGCAGCCGGTGCAGGATGCGGGCGGCCATCGCTGCCAGGGGGTCCGGGCCGGCCCCCCGACACGGCGGGGCCGGGGGCTGCCCACCGCGGCACGGCCCCGCGCGGGGACAGCCCGGCCCCGGGGCACCCCCCGCTGCTGCCCCCGCCCCGCTCCGTTCGCGCTGCCCCGGACCGGGCCGGGCCGAGCCAGGCGGTGCCGAGCGATGGCCGCTCCGCCACGGCTCGTCCCGGGATCCTCCCTGCGCGGCTCCGCCTCCGCCGGGAACCCGGATCGGGGTGGCGGAGCCGGCACCGCCCGGCACGACCGGGATCGGGATCGGCTCCTGCGGCACCGCCCGGCACGGTCGGGATCGGCTCCTCCCGGCACAGTCCGGCACGATCGGGATCAGGATAGGCCACTTTGGCACCTCCTGGCACGATCGGGTCGGAGACAGGGCTCAGCCCGGCGCTGCCCGCAGCCCCTGCCCGCTGCTGCACCCAATGCTACCGCTGTCCCCTATCCGAGATGTCCTGGTCGGATAGAGCCCCTGGTACCCGCCCTGGGGCCACAGGAGCCAGCACTGAGGTGCCCAGCACTGTGGGATCCCAGGGTCTTGATACCCCATACCCTGGTACCCCAGTAGCCTGGCATCCCAGTATCCTGACATCCTGGTACCCCAACATCCGTGTATCCTGGTACTCTAGACACAGGCTCCCGATTCCCCTGGGCTGCTGCCCAGTCGGACGTCCCCCCGGCCACTCTGGCACTCGCCACCCTGGCCCCAGGCAGCCTCGCCACGCGCCCTGCGGTCAGGCTTCACCCTCAGTGCTCGTCCGGCCTTTTTTAGTGTCCGCCTGCTCACTCCTCACCTCTTCCTTGGGAATGTCTATTAATATCGAGGAAGCAGCCCAGCTGCTGCCATCACTCTGCCCTGCTTGCCCGCTGCGCCCTGCTCCGGCACCCAGGACCCCTGCGCTCCCCTGGGCAAGGTGGAATGCGCGGGGGGCTCGGCTTGTGCAGTACCTACATCTCACCCAAGGAATGGGGTTCCCAGCAAAACCACAAGCCACAGAACCCCTGTGTGTCCCTGTCACCGGGAGTTTATGGGACAGGAATCTGTCTGACCCCTGCCTGACCCCACTGCAGCCCTGAGGCTCGGAGCACCACAGGACACGGGCTACTTGGCTAGTGTGTCCCCAGAGCCACCAGCCCCAGCCGACCCTGGCAGCGGTGGCTGGCACGGGCTGCAGGTGTGAGGGCAGAGCCTTCGAGGAGGCACTGGGCGTAATTCCCACTCCCCTGAAGCACGGAAAGACAGAGCCTTTTCCGGACCCAGGTGCCAATGGCGCTGGGGACCCCAAACCACAGGGCTTATTTTCCGAAATCCTCCAGGGACATTGTGCCCCAGGTCTCACTGGGGACCCCTTCCTCACCTGGGACAGGGAGTTGCAGCATTGCTCTGCCTTGGTCCCCCAGAGCAGAAAATGGGGGTGCAGGGGAGGGATGCTGCTCCAAGGAAGCCCAGGTTCAGACTGGGAGCCTGTCCCAGGCAGGGCTGCAGGTCTGGGGGCAGTGGGTGATGGTCTGTGCCCCCCCCGGGTGCAGGGGGGACCCTGACCCCCTTGCCTGGGTGATGCTGAGAGCTCCAGGGCTATTTTTAACCCCCTCATTGCTGAGTTGCCCCGGGCAGGAGGTGCTATGGGGGTGGGAAGAGCCGCCCTCCTGCCACAGCTCCAGTGTCCCTCCTGGAGGGCTTGAATTTCCATCCCAGCCTCAGCACCACGTTAATCCCAGCCCTTGGCCAATAAAGCTTTGGCTAAATTAGGTAAAGGCGCCAGTAGCCAGTGAGCGGGGCTGGGTGCTGCCAGGGTGCTGATAGGCTGCGGGGGCCAAGGGGCAGCAGCTGGGGTACGGCCCACAGAGGCGACGCTACAAATTGGGGTGCCAGGGATACCTCGGTGCTTCTGGGAGTTCCTGCTGCAGGAGCTGGTGATTCTCTGGGGGTGGGAAGCACAGTAAATTCCCACAATGGTAAGAGCCCCTGCGTGTTGTGTGCTTTGTGCTGTGTGCCAGGATGAGACTTGATCGGGCAGGAGGCATCAGGCACCGCATGCTCCAGGGCTATGGAGGTGCCTCTGTGGAGGGCGGCGGGGAGAGAGTCCCCAGGGCTGGGCTGACCGTGGCGGTGAGGGCAGGAGGGCATTGGGGAGGTGCAGGGTCCCCCCAAGGACATGCCTGGGGGACACCAAGTGGCTGCCCAGGTTGTGTGGGTTCCTGGGGACTCAGCCCTGTCCGGAGCTCAGGGCTGTCTAGAGGTGGCAGTGGCAGGGGGTGGCTGAAAGCCGAGCGCTGGGTCATACGACACGGTGTCACCGCCGGCTCCACGGCCAGCCTGCGCCTCCAGGAGAAACTCGATCGGGACCGACAGGTGCCGCGGCTCCAGCTCCAGTGATCCCTACAAGGGGAGCTGAGGAGATTCCAAAAATAGCGCTGCGTGCCTAGGATGCCGAGGCTGCACACAGTGACCATGGCCCCTACACCATGGAGCCCCCCACATGGTGGGGGACCTGGGCAGGCAGCTCCCTGCAGCTCACTGTGCTCATGGACACCCACGAGGCACTGCAACTGTGGGGATTGCTGAGGGCTGTGGCTCGGCTGGCACAGCATCATCCTGCAGCAGGGCAAGGGCTCTCTCCACAGCCCCGCGCTGTCAGGCCACGCTGTGCAAGGGGGCTCTGGCCTGATGACCTGATGGGGTGGCCACAATGACCCCTTCTCCTTTGTCTCACAGACGGACCAGCAGGCAGAAGCCCGCGCCTTCCTCAGCGAGGAGATGATTGCGGGTGAGCGTGGGGGCGGTGGGAAGAGGGGCCAGACACGGCTATGGTGTGCGGCCTGGCTCTGCCCCACTGCCTGGCCCTGACCTCCCTCTTCCACAGAGTTCAAAGCCGCCTTTGACATGTTTGATGCTGATGGCGGTGGAGACATCAGCACCAAGGAGTTGGGGACGGTGATGAGGATGCTGGGCCAGAACCCCACCAAAGAAGAGTTGGACGCCATCATTGAGGAGGTGGATGAGGATGGTGAGCAGCCCTCGGTGGTGGGTGACAGGGGTGAGCACTGAGCACTGGGTGGGCAGCCTGACCTGTGCTTGGCTTCCTCCCCACAGGCAGCGGTACCATCGACTTCGAGGAGTTCTTGGTGATGATGGTGCGCCAGATGAAAGAGGACGCCAAGGGCAAGTCTGAGGAGGAGTTGGCCAACTGCTTCCGTATCTTCGACCGGTGAGTGGAGGGGTGAAGTGGCCGGTCCTGCCTACAGGGGTGAGCAAGGTCACATCTCACACTCACCCTCCTTCAGGAATGCGGATGGGTTCATTGACATTGAGGAGCTGGGTGAGATCCTGAGGGCCACCGGGGAGCCCGTCACCGATGAGGACATAGAGGACATGATGAAGGACTCAGACAAGAACAACGATGGCCGCATCGACTTTGATGGTGAGCAGCAGCCCTGGCTGGGTGCCTGTGCTGTGCACCGGGGCAGGGCTGTGGGCTGAGGCTGCCCTTCTCTTGCAGAGTTCCTGAAGATGATGGAGGGTGTGCAGTAAGGGACCAGACATTCCTCGGGCCAGCTGCTGCACCCAGCCCCACTCCCCCCCTGCCCAGGGAGCAGCAGCTCCACAGCACCTGGCCCCCGGCACCGGCTGGGACCCTGCTCCATGCCAGGGCCTCGGTCTCATCCCACCGCCGGAGACTGAGCTTTTCCTCCCATCTGTCACCTGTGGCTTTGGTTCAAGCCTCAATAAAAGAGGAAAAGCTTGAGTTGCTTGGTGCAGAACTTCACTAAGGGGTGCATGGGGACAGGGCTGTGGCACTGTGCCCCTGCCCTGTTCCCCAGGGAGGGGAACATGCCTGGCTGGTGCCCTATGCCCTGTGGGCAAGCTCACACCACAGGGCTGTGCTGGAGGGGCAGCACAGGGCTGTGGTTCCCACGGGCTCTTGGGCAGGCGCCAGTGCTGAGCTCAGAGTTTCCGTTCAGAGCAGCTGGTTCACACGCCAGCGGGTGAGGGAGCACAGCCCCGGCCACAAGGGACCTTCTCTGGGGACAGACTGTGGGACCACAGGGGTTCTAGGGAGCCACTACCACCTGCCCCACTGGGACCCGCATCTCTCACCCTAAGGACTGGTTTATATGGTGGAGGGGCAGTACCAGCCTCCTCCCTGCAGGGTCAAGGTGACAGTGGAGTCTCTGCATCCAGAGATGCCATGCCAGCCTGCTGGACAGCACAGCTCCCTGGGGACACACTGGGGCGGAGCACAGCGGGGAGTGGGGGGAATGAGGGGAACACAGTTCCCAGTTAGCGTGGGTGGGACCATCAGCAGTGCAGCTGGCAGGACACAGCTCAGAGCTGGTCACATCCCTTCAGCGCAGAGCCGTGGCACAGGGAAACTAAAACCCCAGGAGGGCCAGAGACTACCTCGGGCATCCTGACCCTGCCCTGTTCTCACGGGGAGCGATGGCACCAGGCAGAAGGGACGGGTGCCGCGGGCGGGGGATGGTGGGGACATGTGCAGCAGCACAGGCTGCCCTCTGCAAGGCCGTAGCCGGACACCGGCAGCTGGTGCTGCAGCTCGGGGGCAGCGGTGACAGCCCTCGGCTGCGCGAGGAGCGGCGCAGGAGGAGCACGGAGGCCCGTGAGCTCAGCACCGGTAAGGAGGGGGCTGCTACACTGGGCAGCAGGCACAGAGCCCCCCTGGACCCACAGCAGGGCCACGGAGGGGCTCTAGTGCTGCCGTGGCTTAGTGTCCCCTGTCCGGCAGGGCTGCGGCGGGTGCTGCTGGCAGGGGTGAGGCAGGCACCAGTGAGCCCCCGGGAGCGGCGGGAGCTGGAGCGGCTGTGGGTGCTCTTCCTCTCCGCTCTGGAGCTCTTCCTGCAGGACCTACGCAGAGCCCACCACCTCTGTCAGCTCTTCTCCGTGCAAGAGGGTGGCGTGGCCCCGCTGCGCACTGGGATGGGGGGCTGGGGGCTGCCTGGGCGGAGAGGGGGGAGTCACACACAGCCCCCAGCGGCCCAGGGCTTAGAGGAAGAGATCGAGCAGGTGAGGGCCATGCTGGCAGAGATGGAGAGCGGAGCCAACATTCCGCCATGGACGGTGGAAGCCACGGAGACCACACAGCCAGCAGGGATAGGTGGCACTGCAGCCAGGGGGGCTTGGGCAGGGCCTTGGACTGGGCACTGCTGTGGGGTGCTCTGAAGGGGAGGCCAGGAGGCAGCAAAGCTGGCACCCCCTGTCACAGAGTTGGGTACAGGGGCCCCTATGTACCCCCACAGTCCCCTGCTCCCTGTCTGTGCATTGCTGGGGGCTGCCCCTACCCTGCAGAGGGAACGGGACCACTCTGGGCCCCCCAAATGTTGATAGAGCCCATTACCAGTTGGGGGTCACATCCCTGCCCACACTCACAGAACCCTCTCTAGAAGTCATAAATGTGCATTTATTTATACATTAACCGTGGCTCGGACTGCGACATTAATTTAAAAACAGCCTATGATACAGAACGGGGAGGGTGCTGGGCGGGAGGGGGGATGTTGGGGGGATGGTGGTGATGGTCAGGTCTCCTGGCCCTTGGCCTGCTTGTTGTACGTCTCCCTCACGTACTTCTTGTAGGCTGAGAAGAGAGGGGGCACATGGTGATGAGGGTCCCAGGGCAGCTGCCAGGGCTGGACAGGCAGTGGGACACAGCAGGGTTGGGGGCTGTGCTTGCTGCCCACCCCAGAGGGGAGGGGTAGGGAAGTTCTGTCCCAGGCACTTACCGACTTGGTTCTTCCAGAGCTCGGCTGCGTGTGTGTTCAGGGGGCTCTCGATGTTCGGCTCTGAAAACAGGGGCTGGGTCAGCTGGTGGGGTGACTTGGACACCTCAGAGCTCTGCTGTGGGCAGGGGATCCCCATCCCCACCATCACCCCAGAACCCCAGGGCAGCACAGTTGTGGGACCCACCTGCCAGCAGGCTCTGGACGGAGAGCAGGATGGTGCGGACGTCGTAGAGGGCCGACCACTTTTCCTTGAGGATGTCGAGGCAGATGTTGCCCTGGGTGTCGACGTTGGGGTGGTAGCAGGGGGTCAGGAACCGCACGGTGGGCGCCGTGTAGGGGTATCCGCTGGGAAACTCCAGCGACAGCTTGTACCGCAGCTCCTCGTAGGGCTGCGGATGGGAGTGACGGGGGCAGGAGTCAACGTGGTGGAGGGGAAGACTCAGGGGAAAAAGTTGCACAGGGGGAGCAGAGGACTGGGACCATCCTCAGCTGAAGGGAGGAGGGCGGAGCGGGGTCAGGGCCCCCCCAGCCCGGGATCCTGCCTCTCACCGTGCCAGCGGCGCCGTCAATGGTCCCAATCCACTTGAACAAGTTGTCGGACTCGGGGAAGGCGGAAATGCCTTTATCACCGGACATCTGCGGGGCAGCACGTCAGGGCGGCCCTGGACAGCCCGAGACCCTCCCGCCCCGGCATCCCCAAACCCCGACCCGGCTCCTCAACCCTCGGCGACCCCACTCACCATCAGCGCCATCAGCTCCTGCTGCAGCCTGCGGAGGGGGGGGAGAGCACGTTACCGGCCGGCCCGGAGGGGCAGCCCCCGGCCGCAGCCCCTGTTCCCGTCCCCGCTCACCTCTTCCCCACCGCGCCGCGGGCCGGCGTGGCTCCCGTTTCGGCCGCTTTGCGAGCGGCTGCGCTGGACACGGCGGCGGGGTCAGCGTTCTGCGAGGCCATGGCGGCTCCGGGGGCACCGACGGGCGCACCCGCCTCCGCCGCCGCTGGGTCACGAGCTGGACGCGGCTCCCCCTCCCGGGCGGCGCCGCACCAGGGTCTGCCCGGTCCCTCCTCCCTGCGCTCGGGGCAGGACTCGGGCCCCGCTGCGGCTCTCCCGGTGCCGAGCGGTGGTGCGGGTTCTTCCAGTGGAACTCACCGGTGCGGCGGGCGCTTAGGGCGGTGCAGAACACTCTGCGGACACCCCGGTGCAGCAGCGGCTCGGCGCCAGTCCCGATCCCGGTCCGATCCGTCCCCGTCACGATCGTCCCGCACGGCCCCGCCCGCTCCCGCGCCCCGTTTGAATGTGTCCGCGTGCGGCCCGCCCGCCAATCAGCGCGCAGCCCCGTTCGAGCCGTCCAATCACGGCCCGCCGGGGATGCGGCTCCCACGGTAACGGCCGGTGGCTGCTGATTGACCGCCGGGCTCCGACGCACCGCGCCGTGATTGGCCACTGCTCACCGAGGGGCGGGGCCGCGAGTCCCGCAGGCCCTTAAAGGGCCACACGCCCCTCCCCGGTGCCCAGGAGGCGGCGAGGTGGGTGCGAAGCGGTTTTATTGGGAAGGTGGGGGGAAAAAGGTGTGCTCGAGGTGGGGGGCGAGGCCTCAGGGTTCGGGGGGGTCCTCGGGGGGCGGCGCGTCCCCCCCGCGGCGAAGCGTCTCCATGTGTTTCTGCATCTTCTCCGTCATCCAGGCTGGTGGGATGAAGGGCTTCAGCTCCTCCAGCCGCAGGTCCACCGAGTCCCTTGAGAGGGAAGGGGGTGAGGCAGAGGGACCCTAAACCCACCATGGGACCCAACCAGTACCAAGCCCAAACCTACCAAACCCACCATAGCACCTGCTATATATGGACCAACCAGAACCAGCACTGTGCCCAAACCTACTGTAGACCCCCAAACAGCACCAAGCCCCCCAACCCTTGACACCAAGCCTCCCCCACTGGCATGGAATAGGGTTCATCCATCCTGGGGTTCCCATGCAGTGAGGGAGAGGATAGTGGGGGCCCCCAGGGAAGGAGCCCCAGGCACAGCAGCATCTCTGCTTTGGTCCTCACCTGTAATCCTCACTGGCAGCCAAATCCCGAATGTCCTCTTCGATGAGGAGATAGGCCTGTGGCACAAGGTGGGGGACACCTCAGGGCACCCGCGAGGGGTGGCTGGGGCAGCACCTCCCCCCTCACCCCTGGCCAGCGCTGTCTGATCCAGCTGTGCCCCCCAGGGGCAGGGGATGGACCCCGGGGGCAGCTGTGCCCCCGTGCCCTGCCTGACCTCGTGCCGCAGCCGCCTGTGCCGCGGCTCCTCTGCCCGTGCTGGCCCTGCGGCGGGCCCTGAGCCCGGCCGTACTCACCATCTTGCCCCCAGTGGCCCTCATGTGCTGCTGCTCTGCCAGCCAGTGCTTATCCTGCGGGTCGGCCGCGTACTGCAATAAAGCAGCGAGGACCGAGCTGAGCACGGGTGGACAGACCCTCGGCTCAGGCCTCCCCGTCCTGCGGGACGCTGTGCCCCCCACGCGCTGCCCGCTGGGGGAGCGCTCGGCTCCGCTCCACCTGCCCCGCTCCAGCCTCAGCCCCGGCTCCAGCAAAACCCACCGCGTCGGCTCCCGTTCCATGTGCTAGCCAAGACCTCGGGAATGTGATTCGAGATAACAAACGAGGGCAAGGGGGAGGGAGTGAACAAGCGAGCCGGAGCGCATGTGCCCCCGGTTCCCATGGGAAACTGCCCGGCCGCGGCGTCTGACCTTAAAGAGGTGGGGATGCTTGATGTAGAGCCGCCCTCTTGTTCCTCCCATCCCGAGAGCTCTGCAAGAGGAAGACGAGGGGTGTCAGGGCTGCTGGGAGGGTGGCTGCAGCGGCATGGGGACACCCCTCTCCTCCCCAAGCCCTTCCTACTGCTTTGGAGGCAGAGAAGCGAAGTGACGGGAGGAGTGTCACGGGCTCCTGCCTGGGGACACCACCCTCCATCGACAGGGCCGTTCCTTACTTGTTTGCTCGAGATCCCAGCACAAAGGTTGTGGTTTCAGTCAGTCGGGATGGATCCCACTACAGAGCAATTGGAAAAGGGGCAGCATTAGAAATGAAGCTGGTCCCGGCCACGCTCCACGAGCCTCAGCTCTCTGACAGGGAACCTCAGAGCTGCCCCCGGCCTGAGAGGGAGGGAGCTGGCCACAGACCTCCAGCCTTCCGCAGGGCAAAGACGTTACATTCCATTCTGGGCTGATCTGAGTAGTTTCCCTTGTGGGAAACACTTGTGGGACTGTCCTGGCTACTCCTGCTCTCCCCAGGTCTCCCTCAGCAGCACCACACTGCACAGCTACAGGCTACGGTGCCTGGGGAGACCAGCAAAGGCCTCCGGGCACTTCGCTCCTCGTCTTGCCCCCTCCCACCACCCCAGGGCCCCGTCGGGGCAGAGCACAGCCTGCATTGTCCTGTGCTCCTGCAGCTGCAGGCAGGAGCAAAGGGGAGGAGAGGGGGAGCCCAGCAGTGTTGGCCAGCCAATACCTTTGGTCCATCCCTTCTCACAGGCTCAGAGACTTTGAGCTTCCACCTGAGGGGAGGAAAAATGGGGTAAGAACGAGGCCCTGCAGAACCAGCACAGTCACCACCAGCAGCAGGGAGTGAGCCCCGGCCCTTCCAGATCCACCCTTGTTCACACCTTCCATTCCCCCGCGGCGTCCAGCTCTGGACCCTCAGCTTTGATGCATGTTCTCCTCTCCAGATCTCACCCCTCCCGTGCCTCACTGCTCGCTCTGAATGGTCCATCTGGATCTTTTCACCCTTTTGGGCCTCTTTAAAACCTTTTCCTTGAAGGTCTTGGCCTTCTGGAGGGGCACACCTCAATCTAAGACCCCTCCCTGCCCCCAGAACTCCCATCACCTCTCCGCAGGAGAGGAGGAGATTATGGGGTTTCTGTGCCTCCCCCATATGGGCAGCCTCGTTCCCCCTGCCCTCCCCAAGCAGGGGTTCTAGCTCAGGACTCGTACTCACGCTGCCATGCCCGAGACCCCGCGGTCGTTCGACAGGCTCTGTCCTGGAGGCCGCCCCTTTCTCTGCATGGAAGAAACCCTTCTGTGACTCGGCTGTGCTGGCTCAGGGAACCCTCTCAGTGACTCTCCCCATCCCAGAGAAGCTGCTCCTTTTGTCACGGGCAGAAATGCTCCCTGGCACCAGAGCAAGCACCTCCCAGGCCTCACAAAAGCTGCCTGTGCACCTGCACGCACTCATACGGTGGGAATGGCCAGGAAGGAGGACCAGACTTGCCCAAACATAAAATCTCTGGCGCAGAAAACCCTCACACCTTTTTGGGAACGGGACTCCCTCGACGGCTCAGCTCCTCATCCATCTGTCGGGCACGCTGGAAGAGGAAGGGCAGGGGGATGAGAAGGGCCCTTCTCACCTCCTGGTCGTGTGGGGCCCCCTGCATCCCAAAAGCCAGGTAAACGCTGACCCCCTCTCCTCTGCAGGTAAACACTGATCCCAGCCCACGATGGTCAGCAGCACCACACCATAAGAAGCAGCACCTGCACCTGAGCTTTTCCTTGCCCTATATTCCCTTCCAGCCCAACATCCCCTGCTCTGCCTCTGCTTTACTGTGCTGGAGGACAAGAAGAGGCAGAGAAAAAAAGGGATTCCAACCCTTCTCTTCCTCCCAGCTCTTACAAGTCATTTAAGCCTCTGGGTACAATCACAAAGTTTACCTTCGTCCCTGCCTGCTCATGGGGAAACCTGGGAACCACTTTTTTGCCATCGGAGAACAGCAGTTTGGCCTGCAAGAAGAGAAAGAAGGTTCCAGGGATTCTGGGCTCAGAGGGGGCCCCATCTCCATGTATCTGCCTGAAAGCCCTGCACCAGCTCTGCTTTTGGAGCGCTACTAGGCCGTGTTCCACAGATGACCAGATGCAAAAGCACAATCTGAGCATCGTAACTCTGGTCAACTGGCAAAAAAGCAAGACGTGAAAGGAAAAAATCCTCCCCCACACCACCAGGACCCTCTGTTGGTTGCTGGGGGCTGGTCTCTGTGGGATGTCTAGCTGCGTGCCATGTTCTGACAGCAGCAGTGAAAAGTGGTAGCATGAGCTGACCACTGCCCTCTTCCCAGTGAGAATGAATCCCAGCACAGCAGCCACACAGGGGCTGTGGATGTCCCCTCACAGTGACAGCAAAGCTGTTAAGAAGGACACATCCTGGTCAGGCTGCTCTGCTCAGTCAGGTGCCCAAGGAACCCCTCGCCAGCACCCACCTGCTCCAGGCAGCTCCGACAGGTCTCCTGGATGAGCTGCTCCGGGTCCACCTCCTCCCCAACATTATCACGCACATTGATTGCTGCTGTCTGGAAAAACTGGAGAGGAGAAGGCAGGAGAGGGTGAGAGCCTGTGCAGCCGGGCAGTGTCGGGGCAGGCGCAGGCCCCAGCTCGCACCGACTGGTGGGACAGCCTCGGTGACAGCCCAGGTGTCCCCACACACCTTCACGTCCCCACCACCGTGCCCAGCACTCACCTTCATGTACTTGTTGAAGACGGCCCGGATCTCCTCGTTGATGCTGGGCTGCAGCACGGCGCGCAGCAGGTCCATGGACACGCTCGGGTCCGTGAAGCTGCGGGTGGAGGGGTCAGGCGAGGGGTGTGGGACCCTCCCTGCCCCTGCCCGGTCTAACCGAGATCTTCCCCCCAGACCGGTGCCCGGCCCAGTCCCGCTGTCCCACCCTTCCCCTCACCCCGCCGCCTGCCCTGCCCGCCCACCCCGCCCTACCTGGTGGTCATCTGGGAGCGCCGCCCGCGCCGCTGAACCTGCCGGTGCTTGATCATGATGTTCCACGGGCTCTGCGGGACACAACGCGTCAGCCGCGGCCCCGCCGCCCCCGGCCCGGCCCGGCCCGGCCCGGCCCCCTCCTCACCGTGCCCACCAGCTGCTCCTCGGCATCGCCAGGGCCCTCCTCGCCCGGCGGCCCCGGCTGCTGCTCCGCGTCGCGGGCGGCGCCCATGGCCCCGCTCCCGGCTCCGGCTGCGAGCGCCGGATGCGCGGGGATCCCGCGCTACATCATCGGGCCCCGACGGATGTGACGGCGCTGCCGCGGCAGCGGAGCCGGTCCCAGCTCCAAGCCCTCATTTCCCAAAGCCCTAAACTTGCCCTGTCCCACCCTGAACGGGACCTG